TTCAATGACTTATATATCCTGAAATACACTAAATTCTTTACTTATATTCTAGCAGTTTATTTATAATTTTTGACTTTTTGCATCCCTTGGAACTGGAGTTACAGATGTTCATGAACCACCATGTGGGTGCTGGGACTTGAACTCAGGCCCTTTGCAAGAGCAACATGCACTTTTAACCACTGAGCCATCTCTCTAGCCCCTTATTTTTTTTTTCTACAAAGTCATAGCATTTATTAGTTAACAGTTATTTTCTTTCCAAAACTCAATTATTTTGCAGCTATAATCTCCAAAACAATGTAAATTAAAAGTTAAAATACAAACAGCAGGATACAATAACTAATCTTATTTATTCATGAATAGAAAAGTTTTAATATTTCATAATTAAATTCAATCTTTAATGTAGTTTTGTTAAAAAAACATTAGGTTATCTTCTAAATATACTTTGTAAGAGGGATTTATCACAACAGATATTGAATCTTATCGACTATCTTTTACATCTATTGAAATAATTTTTCCTTTAATCCATTGTCATATTAAAATCATGTTAAAAAGAACTATCATTTTAAACGACATTAGATTCAAGTTGCTAGTAATGATAATTTTGAAAAGATTTTGTTTATATTTATTTTGTGTGTATGAGTATTTTGCCTACATGCATGTCTTGCATACCACCTGTGTAGTGTCCACAGACCAGAAGAGGGCGTGGGAACCTCTGGAACTGAAATTACAGAAGGTTGTGAGCCACCATGTGGATGCTGGAGTGAGAACCCAGAACCTAGGTTTTTTGCAAGAGTATCAAGCGCTTTTTACCACTAAGCCATCTCTCCAGCTCCATAACCATAACTTTTATATCCCAATCAGAAGGTTGACATGAAATTTTCCTGCCCTGGGTTACCTTCGAAAGACTTCTGGACTATCATGTATTCCTAAGACTTGGCAAGTAAGCCCTGAGATTGGTGAGTAAATCCTGATATTGGTGACTATGTCCTGAGATTGGTGAGTATGTCTTGTGATTGGTGACTATGTCCTGAGATTGGGGAGTATGTCCTGTGATTGGGGACTAAGTCCTGAGATTGGGGAGTATGTCCTGTGATTGGGGACTAAGTCCTGAGATTGGGGAATATGTCCTGTGATTGGGGACTAAGTCCTGAGATTGGTGAGTATGTCCTGAGATTGAGGACTACATCCTGAGATTGGTGAGTATGTCCTGAGATTGAGGAGTATGTCCTGAGATTGGGGACTATGTCCTGAGATTGAGGAGTATGTCCTGTGATTGGGGACTATGTCCTGAGATTGAGGAGTATGTCCTGAGATTGGGGACTATGTCCTGAGATTGGTGAGCATGTCCTGAGATTGGGGACTATGTCCTGTGATTGGGGACTATGTCCTGAAACTGGTGAGCATGTCCTGAGATTGGTTGAGTATGTCCTGAGACTGGGGAGTTAAGATATCCCGTTGTCATTTCCTTCTACATGTTTAGATCACTAAAGAACAATGCGAATGGATTGTGACATTACAGATAGCTAATACTCATTTAATACATTAAAATGCAACAAGTATTTACCAAATCTAACAACATACCTTGCCTGCCAGGCGGCTGGAGATGATTCCATTACTCGATATAAGACAATCAGCAAGGGTAGTTTTCCCTGTTAAAATAACATTAATTACAATACATTCACCTAAAGGGGCTAGCATTCTATAGTGCTGTATTTTCTACTTGTGGACCTCACCAATTTCACTTAAGAAGTTGTCAGATTAATGTTAAGCACAGAAAATTTCTTAAATTGAGGCAGACTCTACAGAGTAAAACATCTGTCTCTGGTGAGGCAAACCACTAAGAGAATCAAAATACAGATCATCTTTTACAATGAGTTACTATAATCTAGACTTTAAGAAATCAATTAATAATTTACCAACAATCCTGCACAACAGATCATAGGCTCTAAAGGCTCAGAATGTCACAAGGACAGCAATAGCATTTACCTCAGAAAGGTACACTGGGTAAATCATCACCAGGAAATGACAGCACACAGTCTTCTGTCATAATTACTTTTGTGTGACACTCAACAACATCTGTTAGCTAAACTGTTACACTTATTTCATCAGAAAATTTGTTTTTCTTTTGCTTACAGTACAGTTTGTGGAGCGCTACATTGCAGCAGCCAATACAATCCTATTTCAAAACTAAACCTGGAATCTACTTTACAATAAAAGAAATTATTTGCATAATCAAATATACATTTACAGTTACCTTTATTAGACTATTGCCAAAGTTTACACAACTTCAAGGGGCATAAACAGCTACCTGTGTTTAAAGAATGACATGGGCAGACTCAGTTTCCACAGTTGGGTAGGCCTAACAAATGGTTGGATCTTTCCTTCAATCCTTCTGTGAATATATAATCTGTGGGATCTATGTAATAGCATAAGCCAGGGACCAATCAACAGTTCTTCTGACGAATGTGTTTTAGTATATAATCCTAGAATATCACTTTCCTGCTGTGCAATAGAGTAGGATGCATTCTAAGTATGGCAAACACACACCCCTTAGATTGGACCACAAAAGAGAGGACTTCCCATTATTAAGCAAGGCTGGATCCCTTGGACAACAATGTTTGATACATACACACTAGTGAATCTGCTATTTAGTTCTCAGAACAGAAATGAAAAGGAAAAAAGAAACAAAGTAAAACCTTTGGCTAGTCCTCAGAGCCTCCAAACATGTACATATAACCACAAAACCCACGGTGGGCAGGTTAGCCACTGATTTGTACACAAAACTCAATCTCAGTTTCTACAACCTGAACCACTCTCTCTCAGTTTTTGTGCTACCTACCTTCTCTTAGGAGCTCATGTTAATGACAAGAGTCACCACGCCTCTTTTCTGCCTTTCAACCCACCCAAGCACCTTTACCAGTCTAATCTAATCTACAATTTTTGTACACTAACCTTGCCTTTTTTCCCTCCAATGGCTCCTTACATGCTAAGGAAACGTGTTAACGGCCATTTTCACGGCTAAGTATTTCACTGCTGACAAGATTCTCCTTATCGTCCTCTTACACAGGCTGTACACTGAAGCTCAGACAGGCAGTTATTTGAAAGAGGCCAGAGCTGAGGATGTCTAACTGCAGGGCTAGAGCGCTTAGCCCTTCTCTTAGAGCCGTGCAGCCATGACAAGCTCCAGGAGACAGGCCCCAGCCTGCCTCTTCCCCGTCCACTCCCTCCCCTTTAAAATGCTGAGTAGTTTTGACTTCGTGTGCTAAACTGAGTTCTGGCTACCAGAAGAGTTTCAACTGGCGAGCGAGCAGACTCAGTCTGACAGTGTCAGGGAATGTTGATCTGAATCCCACAAGTGTTAGCTAACCCGACCTTTACTGTATCTGCACTTTAACTCACGTCTGTTTCCGTCTACCCCTGTAATACTTGTCCCCACCTATCAGCGAGAGTCCCCTCCTCAAAGGGCATGTCTGACACCTTTCCTTTACCCAATCTGGCTACCTAATCCTCCAGTTCTCAGAACTCTTATATATCCCCCACTGACCCCCATCTCATCACGTATTCGTCCCTAAAACATCTACAGCTGGGCAGGTGGCCTCCTCAGAGATGTCTAGCTCCTGATAAATCTAACAGAATGCCGCAAACTTAAGAGATGCTCACTCAGCATGTGATAAATTAAATAAGACAGATCCCTAGGAGATATGCTCTACCAAGACCATCAATGTTTTAATATTTCAAAAACTTTTCCATATTTTAACCAAAATCCAAGTTCAAACTTAAAAGCATGATGTGAAACCCTACGCAGAAGAATGCTAAGCACCAGTTAACCCGTTTATTACTAATGTTTTCCAGCGTGCTTCTCTGACATCACACACACACAACTTCTTAGCAAGCAAGCATCACTTTCATCGCTCCAGTGAAACATACAGAGACATGTCTTCTTTGTTAATAAAAAGTCATTTTAAAAGAGTCTTACCATGGTCAACGTGAGCCAAAACACAGATATTCCTGATGTTGGCAGTGTTTTTCTGAAGTTGAATCATCTTATCAACGCCATTGAGCACCATGGTTAATTATTTCCTGTGACTAAAAATTACATGCAAATTACAAGTGGTATAAAATTTAAAAGTCGGGGGAAACAACAACAAAAATGGACAAGCTGAGAGACAGATGCTGGGGTTTACAAGCCGCCTCAGATTTCTCAACTGAGAACCCAAGGAATGTTTAGCCTTATCTAGTTCTTTCTGCCCCTGACGGGATATGGCAATACAGGCCCAAGTTCCACTGTAAAGTCCACACACCCTTATGGTACTTGTGGAGTGCGCTGGGAGTTTCCGGGTCTGCGGCGCGATGAATCACGCAGCTGGCTGCAGAGACGCCCGTCTAAGTGACACCACGCACTCAGGTACTCTGGCCCACGAGGACCACAGGAAAAGTCCGTGGACATCTCCCCCTTCCCCACTGTAGCCCCTCCGAAAGTCTGCCGCTCTTGCCAAGCTTGCTGGCTTTCACCAGACGTTAAGGATCTCGGCCCTGTGACTGCACCGAGTGTCCTTAAAAGTTTTGGAACACGTGCTTGGGAACTCAGCAGGTGCATGACACACCGCCCATCCCTCTCCAATTAAAAAAGGCAAAGCGAGGTCTGCAAGCCCTTCCTCCGTTCGGACTCCGCGAGTCGTGGTCGCCAAGGGTCCCAGGGTCCTACGAGGTGCAGCTGCTCCGTGCCCTGCTCGCCTAGCCCTACCGACACGACTCCCCGGGTCCCCACCACCGTCCGGTCGCCGGCGTCCCTAGCAGGCAGGCCCCCACTCACCGGCTTCACGCCGCACTTGACTCACGCTTCTAAGGCTCCAGGAGTAACTCAAGCCGGAAGTCGCAGGCGCCGGGAGGCGGGGCCTCCAAGGCCTGCGACCTCTGACCCGCGCGCGTCTTGAACGCCACCGGAAGCTGCCTCACTCCCTTCCCCGCGGAGTCCCGCTGTCGCCTTGACGACCGCGGACGCTGTATCTGCTCTGAAGTGCCAGCTGCAGCAGCCCTGCGGAGAAGGACGCTGGAGCCAAGGGCATGAGGAACTGGTGTCTGTGTCAGATTTGCACCTGCGGGTAAGAAACAGCCGGCCGCTGCGGCGTCGGCGGGGCCGTCAGCACTGCTGACTCCTCGCTGCACGCCGCCCCCCACCATTACTCCCTTGCCTGAGGGGCGAGTGCGCCCTTTTTCTCTACTTGATTGGCTCCTGGGGCAAAACTTTTCTTCATTGCAATCCCCGAGGCTTCCTATCCAGAGCTTTAAACTGACATACAGTCCAGGCCTGAGAAGTAGTATGAGCAAATAAGTGATTGTGATGGCTGGTAAGTGATGGAATCTGGTCCAGGGGGAGTTCCCCCCCCCCCCCCCCCACCGATTCTGTTGGTTAATGTAAAAGACCGGTACCCAAGGTCTTTCTTTGGTTTGCTACCCAGGGCTTTGCATCCTCTAAACCTTATTCTTATTCCTGCGCAGGCAGTGTTCTCTTGGGGTCTGCCTGACAAGCGAAACAGGCAGGAATCCCCACCCTAAACCGCAGGTTTGGTCTGTTAAATTCTGCCTAACAACCTTCCACCACCGGTAAACACATTCTTCTCTTTCCTCAGCCTTACTGTTGACCCAGGGATTAGATCACCTTTGCTAAGTAACTATGAATAATGCCAAGCTCTTTATATTTCTGATCCCCTTCTAAGGGCAACCACCTACAATACATGTTGATTGAAAGCAGTTTTTCTGCCTCTTTCATAATAATACAAATAATAATGTTTGTATGGGTGGAAACATAACTTTTAAGGTGTGAATCTGCGAAATCTGGTGTGTAAGAAAAAAAATCTTAATTTATTTACAGTGTAAGTTATTTTCCCATCCAGCCATCAAGAAATGCATGATACTGGGGACTCCTCATTCTTCAAATAATATCACTATCCAAAGAGGTGGGGCACTGCCAATGTAAGAAGAAGCCCCTTTAAGCTTTGAAGCATGGCTAGTGGCATCTACTGAAATGTCCCTTGAAGAAGCTTAGTTCCTTTGAGAGCAGTGCCTCTGCTGCTTTCCTTTGTATACGTGAGGCGCAGGAATCTTGAAGAGTTCCTATGACATGCATTGTTGCACTCAGCCAATGGTTTTAAAATGTGGCTCCTCCATGGGACACTCTCAGAATGGGGCAAAGATCCTTCACTGTTGTCCCTCCCCACCCCATCTTTTGCCTCCTGTCCTGTTGGAAGGGAAGATCTTTCCCCATTCTTTTTGTTGTTGAAGACCATCCCTTAGGTCCATTTGCATCACTGTGGTAGCAATACCAGACAGGAACAAGAAAGAAAGGTCTGTTTGGGCATACAGTCCCAGAGGGTGTGGTCCATGCAGTCAGGCATGGGGAAGTTCTTGTTCCTGGAACATGAAGCAGGCTTTCTCACATGCTGGCAGACCAAGAAGTAGAAAGCCTTAGGAATCAGGGCCCACGCTGTTATCTATCAAGGGCTGCCATTAGCCACCTACTTCTACCAGGTAGGTGCCAGCTTCCAAAATCCTTCCAGAATGGTTCCATCAGCTGGGAAGCAAGGATTCAAAACATGTGAGCATTTCAGACTCAAACCATAATGCCATATGTTCTCTCTTAGGAACCTCAAAGTCAATTCCTTTGATCTCCCATTAGGGACATCTAACTTTACTTGTTTGTTTTGTTTGTCTTTCTAGGCAGGGTTTCTCTGTGTAACAGCTGTAGCGGGCCTGCAACTCAGGACCAGGCTGTCCTGCAACTCACAGAGACCTGCCTGCCTCTGCCTCCTAAGTGCTGGGATTATAGGTGTGCACCACCATGCCTGGCCAATTTCATCATTTCTGTGAGCTGCTTCTTCAAAAAGACAGAAAGACTTAACAAGTGTAAACAGCTATAACTACCAGCAAAACTATAAATCAGAAGGAAGAAATTTTCCTTTTAAGGATTGCAAATGTTAGGCTAGAAGGTGTTTGCTTTCTTTTATAATAATTTATCTGCACTTTTATGTCTTATATTTGTCCACAGTCTTTGGTATATTACACTGTGAATGCAGTGCTCTGGTGGACAATAAAAACAATGACAAATTCCAAAGCTTTGACTTGTGTTCTGTTAATCAGTGCAACTCTATGAGAACTTTACATGACCTGTGTACTCTGCTCCTGGATTTCCCAAGGGTCTGGGACCCTGCATGGGACAGAATCACTCCAGCCCTTGACAATAGCTTCATTTTCAGTGGACATTGCTGAGTCTCCGGACTCTTGGGACTTGGAAGCTTCTTAGACACGTGGAAGAATAAAGGAGATGTGGAATCAGGATGCTGCCTGACATCTCCCAGCTCAAGCCCTCTTGGCCTCTACTCTATCCCATGCCCCAACTCTGCTACCCAGAACAGATGCTGTGCTCTCCCCTCTTCCTTTTGTAGCTATGTTCTCAATCAGTCACCTGTAAGGGTCTGTTGTAGGTGAAATTGAAACGGAAAACTTGTCTGCCAGGAAGTTTTCTTCCTGGGAAATTCACTTGCTAGCTTTTCTACTTCAGTAGCATAAGAAGTCACTAAACTACTATGAGCAAAACCAGTTTCTGCTACATAAGGCTACACTGTAATTTACTTACTATTTTTTATAAGCTTCAATGCAGAGGGGTAAGCTGTGCTGAAGTTCAAAGTGGTGAGTTCACTGGGGACCCTGTTAACATGCAATAACCACACCAGATGCTTTTAAGGCAAAATAATGTTTCAGTTTATTTGTTTGTACAGACGGCATCGTTGTCCACATGGAACCACAAGGGTTTATGAACATTCTGGCATATCTTGCCCCACAACGGAGTATTTGGAAAAATATCCAAAATATGGCAATGTTCTTCCACCTCAGAGTCTTAAACCCAAGCAAGAATTTCAAGCACACCGTGGTAAAATGGAAGGAATAACTACGTTTAAGTAAATATTTAGAAACAGTTTCCTTATTTTTCTGCCCAACTTTTCTGACCTTAAGTTTCCTTACTGTTTAAATTTAACTAGCTAGTTGAATTAAATTGAACTAATTTGAGAAGCAAAAACTGATTATGACTTGAGAAAACCAGAAAGGTAGAAATATGACTTGAGAAAACCAGAAAGGTAGAAATTAAGTTACTTTGGCAAAGAGAAGAAAAGGAAAAAACAAAAGGTTTTGTTGATTTTTTTTTTAATGATCAAAATAAATATAATATTTATGTACTTGGCACACTGTAACCACCATCTAGAGGAATGCCTCTTCCTAATTTGTTTGTGTGTGTGTGTGTGTGTGTGTGTGTGTGTGTTTACACTCGTACATGTGCATGCAAGCATGTATGTGTGGGTATGTATATGTGTGTGTTCTAGTTTTTACATCTCTGATTGATATCCAATACATTAGCCTGCCAAGGCAATTTTTTAAGCATGCAGATTTAATCCTATTCGTGATCCTGCTTGAAATACTTTAAAGCGTTTCTGTTGTTTAGCATAGACTCAATCCCTTCCATAACTACTACATGGATTATCAAACCCTGCTTGCTTCTCTAGTTTTTTTTTCCCTGTTTGGAATTCTCCCTCCCTCTTTCCCTAGCTAATACTCATCTGATCTGTAAATATCAACACAATTTTCCTTTGTAAATGTCATCTCTGCCACCCTACCTTTTATATATTTAGCTTTTGAGGCCAAGTAAATATCCCTCTCATAACTTCTCATAATATCTTCCTATTTGTTATTAGATTCAGTTCAGTGTTCCATACCAGCAGGATGTACATCTATTGTTTTCTCAGCGTTCCTTCCTCAGGAACCTAGTACCATACCCATTACCTAGAGTAGGTACCCAACATTCCTAAAAGCAGGGGCTTAGAACTCTGGCATGATTTGCTTGTGTTGATCATACTGACTAGGAAATTGAAGGGTGATTTATCTGTATAAAGAATAAATGTCATTCTATACTATATGTTTCTATAACACAGGAAGAGACTGTGTGAACTTGTGTAAGATTTTTTATCTTGACAGCATAATTGTAGCTCAGGTGACTGTCAGAATTGACAGTGTGTATCTTTAAAATAACTGTGATGTACATCATAATATTGTCCAACTTTACTTATAAGGAAACAAGGGCATGGACAGGTTAACTAAGTTATCCAAGGTTATACAGCTGTTGAGTGACAGAGCCAGGATTTGGATTCAGACAGTCCAGCTGGTCTTGAATCTCTCTGGTTTTCTCCATTCCAGTGGACTGTCTCAGCCCTTGCAATACCAACCCTGTCACAGTGATGTTATATAATGCACAGGATAGTTAGATTGCCATTTCATTCCTACCGATGGCCAGGACTTCTGAGAGATCCAAAGTCTTAGTAAGGCTCACATCCATATTATGAGCCAGAGTTAGTGATCTTTTTAACAATGCACAGGAAGATATTATGACTTCATATGAAGACACTATGCCTGGTTTTAATCTATGTAGGTGAATGTGGCTTTTGACAAGGTGGATACAGAGCTAATCTTGACAAATTTATCAGCTCATCAAATCTTTCTTTTGAGATTTCCTTCTACATTAGATAAAAAATAAAATTCAGTTACTTGAGAATTTTACTTACAAGATCAAATTGAGAAGTTTCAATTTTTAAAAACTAGGATTTTTTATGTCTTTTCTTATCATTAGATAGAACCTTAAAAACAATTCAATTGCTCCTTTCAAATAATCAACTATTACCATTTTAATATCTCCTTAGATTGTTCAAGTAAGACAGAATTGAAGATTTTACTACTGAGATAATCAAAACAGAAGAACCAGTGAGGCTGAGTTTCACACGCACACACACACATACACACACATACATATATATATTTCAGGTCAGATTATCGTCCTTACGAAGTAGTCAAGCAGCCTCGCCACATTCCGGAAGAATATAAACCCAAACAGGGGAAAATTGATCTTGGGACTACCTACAAGCGAGATTTTAATCCTTATGAAGTACAGCCTGTGGTAAAAGTCCGGCCTGTGGAAAGACAACCAGTTCAAAAAGGGAAATTGGACACCATCCCAACTTATAAAGGTAACTTGTCATTGTAAAAACAAAGGTGCCCCAAACCTAAAAATGCCAGCTTTGACCTTTACAGTCAGCTCAGAATTTTCTTGTATTATCGTACTTATCACCATGGTTAGGAAAGCACATTCTTCCCTTGGACCAAAATAGTATTGCTAGCAAAACCCAATTACAAACAAACAAACAAACTGCCTCATGGGAGTTAGGAGTCCTAGAGTCTTCTCCAAATGTATCCCCTAAGCTGTCTGTATCTCAGAGCATTTTAAATGCAAAGGGTGTCACTGACCAAGGATGTATGCTGCACATCTTACTTTGTCACAGTAGTTAGTTTTGTCTTGTTCACCCTTTCCTATCCTATCATGAGCTGAAATTCAGCAGAGAAAGTTAGAGTTGTCGAAAAAATAAAACAGCAACTGTCCTCTTAATTCAAATTCCAGACAACCTGTAAAACTAGTGAATTAGTAGATCGACAAGCAGAATATTACTTTTATACTCTAAAGGCTGGATTGGAGGATGAAGCTTTGATCTATGAGCAGATGATTCTTGATACTGGACTTCAGACTAAGACAAACATGTCCGCCCCGACAGTCAGTGCTAGGTGACAGCAGATGGGCCTACTTCTCTAAGCCTTGCTCACAGCCAGAAAAGTGTAAATATACTTTCCCATGGTTAGCAGCTCACAAGAGTAAGCGCTGGCAACTGTATGACCCACCCCCCCCCCCCAACAAAACCTACATGATTTTAAAATACTCTTTTACTCTTGGAAGTCTTCCTTAAAAACAGACCATCTTGATATGAGCTATTTTTTTTTATTAGGAACACAGTTGCACATGCAGGCTATATCCTTTCAGTTGGTTATATGAAATAGCTGAATGGGTATGTTCCAGTACAAAACCTTTTGTAAGAGTGTTGGCATATATAGTTAATTACGTAATAGCTAATGGATGGATACTTTAAAAACTCTGAGCATTAAATGGTAAGTAAAATACAAGGTATCAATATACTATGATCTGTTGGGGAGGTTAGGGATAATGTTTTCTTATTTTGAAAAACTGAGTACATATACTGCTATAGAAAGGACAAGTTATAAAGACTACAAATGGTGAGTATAATCAAATATGGCACAAACACATTACTGAGATACTAATATGCATAAAAGATAATTTTGACATAAAAGATAATCAGTGAAAATGACTTTATTCTGGCATTTATGAAAGCATAGTAATTTTCTCCAGTGTAATATATATTAAAACAGTAATATTGATGTCCCTTGATGCTGTGTGCATATGTGGAACATACACAGACACATAGTGTTCCAGGTTTTCAGGCATGAAACAACAACCTCAGCTGTACTTAATGTTGTGTGGTTGTAATTCTGTATGTGTAATTCTGAATGCCTTCATAAGATCAGGTATCTATTACAGTCTGAGAGCAGAGGACAGAGGGAAGGCAGAAGGAACAGTGTAGAGAAGAAAATACCCTGCAGTGCAGTAAGTAGATTGACATTTCTGAACACGGGTTTCAGGAAACAGAAGTTTGTCTGTCCTCAGCTTAGAAATTCATTCATATTAAAATGTAGATGCTAAAACTAGATTGCTGTGGTTTCCTCAAGGTCTTGGGGCTTACTCTGCCCTGTGCTTGCTGTTACAGAGAATACAGAGATCTAGACTGGAGAGTCATTGCTGACATTCAGAAATTTTATAGCCAATATAAGGAAGTAAAAACTCAGTACACTAAAAACTATAGAACACAGTTGAAAGAAGTGGAAAGCTATCTTGTACCCATGGATTGGGATAAATAGTATTAAAATGTGATACCAAAGCAGTCTACAGATTGAATGCAATCCCTGTCCAAATTCCAGTGTCATTTTCTCAGAAGTAGCAACAACAATTCTAAAATCCATATGACACCACAGAAAACTGATAGCCAAAGCAGTTTGGAGAAAACAAAGTCTGAGATACAATATTTCTGAATTCCTAATTATATTACAAAGCTACCATAATTAGTATTTTAATAAGAGAATGGACACACAGACCCATGAAACAGAATCAAGGCTCAAGAGTATATATAAGCACATACAGCCAACTAATCTTCAACGAGGGAGCTATAGATACACAATGTAGAAAAAAAATACAATTTCTCCAATAATTCATATTGGGAAAGCTGGATAGCCCCCATACAAAAATAATAAAATTGGATCTTTATACCATACACAAAAGCAGAGGAAAAAATCTAAATATAAGACCTGAAATTGTAAAATTCCAAGAAGAAATACTGACTTTGGGATTTGTTTTAGATAGGATGCTAAAAGCACAAACAACAGAGCAAAAACACATAAGTGGGATCACATAAAACTAAAAAACTATGCAGCAGGAAGTGAAATGGCAACCTATGTATTTGGAAAATAATCGCAAACCATATATTAGATAAGAGGTTAACCAAATATATAAGGAAATCAAACAATTTAGTACCAAAAAAAAAAAAACCCTTATTTAAGAATGGCCCATGAATCTGAATAAGCATTCTTCCAAAGAAGACACAAATGACCAACGAGTACCCGAAAAGATACTCAGGGTCACTAAGACAGGGAAGTGCAAATGAAAAACAAAGTAAGATACATGTCACATTCATTCCGTTGGATATTATCCAAAGATAAAAGAGAACCCTTGTTGGTAAGAAAAACAGAACTTTGTACTCCTCTGCATAGGAATATAAATTGGTATAGCTATTATCTGATTTAGAAATTTCTCAAAAAATTAAAAATGAAGCTTCCATATGATCCAGCAATATCTAACCAGGATTTATAACTGAGGGAAATTATAACCTCGATTATAATATGCATTCTTAGATCCATTCTAGCATTATTCACAGCCATGATATCTTATTAATAGATGACTAGGTAAAGAAAGTCAAAAGTTAGTGGAACATTGAAAAATTTGTACTTAGTAGTTGGTTGTTGTGGCATACATATGTCTGTAGTTCCAGTGCTCAGAAGGCTGATAGAGGATCTCAAGTTCCAAGTCAGCCTGTCCTGTATAGTTCAAGACTAGCCTGGGTTGACACAGTTAGACCTTGTATCAAAACACAGTATATTTGGTAATATATTACTTCAGGCTACCCTAGAAATATTCCAGAGATTGGTGATTATTCATATATATAGAGAGAAAGGGTGTACCAAAACCTGGAATAAAATAAGCAAAAACTCATAAAATGGTGAGGGGGGTAGGAAGCTGATTTCTTCAGTGAAGCTGCTGAAGATCAGAGTCAAGACTCAGAAACTGGGAAAAACTATAAATACAGGTTAAGATTATATTGCAAAGAGCCTTGATTGATAGGCTAGACATTCCATAACCATTATTTTTTTAAACAATGTTTTTTGTAGCTCATGCTGGTGTTGAACTTGTGTGTAACAGAGGGTGTCCTTGAGCTCCCAATCCACCCGGCTCCATCTCCCCAGTACTTACTGTATGGTGTAGGTAGTAGAAAATTATTGCTTTTATTATAACAACTAAGAAAATAATATAAAAATTTTAAGTCCTTTTAATAGCAGACAGCTTGTGCAGGAAAAAAAACACTAAAATTTCATAGAATGCTGTCCACCTTATAGATGACTACTAATTCTGTGAGAATATTTGCCAAGTTCAAGTCTAGGCTGAGTATTAAACTTGGCATAGACAAAGTCAATTTACTATGGGAAAAATAAAACAATGAGCCACTTGTTTGTAAGCTTGTTACAAACTTACTTGATATGTAAGCCGATCCAGGTTGCAATCTACAAAAATCCCATATGCATGGCTTATTACTTTCTGAATTTTGCAGTGTTTGATGGACATGATGAGCTGGGAGACTGAAACAAAAAATTCCAAGAAACACCCAAGAACTTTATTTGGGAATAGATGCTTAGTAGATAAAGCCCCTAGAGTGAAGAGCTTACCACAAACACACCCAAATCATGTCCTAGAGACATTTAAACATAGAGCATGACTGTATCTACTTAGCTCAATCCCTAACTGGATTGAGGGATTATGCCCACACCCTATATGCCAAATTCCTGAAAGAACAAAATTTCTCCTACAAAAAAAAATGAATTTAGTTTCCAGGATTCCTTTATGCACATCTAGTGACTAGTAAAACATTATGAGCCCTATAGAAAAATCAGGAAATATCTGAAGAGATAAATGGACAATAAACTACCAAAATTTGTGATAGAATCATTTTACATATTTAAGTCCCAAATAGATAAACACAAAGGAAACTGCCCCTAGGCAAGTGCCATTTTAAAAAGGAAAGGAATTCTTAAAGGTGATGGAAAACTATGAAAAAAAACAACAACAACTCTGGAAAGAGAGTTAAACCAGACTGTTGGAACCCAGTGGAATAGAGATCTTGGAGCATGCAGCCCTAAATAGGATGTCTATGCAAAGCCCTCCTCAAGTTTCAGGGGTTTATGCAGAAGAGGAGGCAGAAAGATTTTAAGAGCCAGAAGAAGTGGATGTCTCCAAGGAAACAAGTCTTCCGGACACAACAGGGCTGGTGCACATAAGAAGTCACAGAGACTGTGATAGCATGCACAAGACCTGCACAAATTTAACCCCCGCCCCCAAATCCTAGCATGAAAAAGGGGAAGTGGGCCCAAAGTCCCACCCCTAACCAGGGAGTTATTTGCAACTGATACTTGCTTACAGAGGGAAAATCAGTTTTCTCCAATTGAGTGAGTGACAGAGTCTATCAATCACACTCTCAGGCAGGACTCATGCTCAGGAGTAGTTGATCGATGTTTTCCTTGCGCACGCACGTGAGTATATGGGTGTGTTACAGTTTGGTAGTTTTTGTATTTTGTTTTTGATAGAGCATGAAGTTGGGTGAGTAAGGAGATTCAGAGGATCTAGGAAGACTTGGGGGAGGGCAAATATAATCAAACATTGTATGAAAACTAAACTTTTTAAATAAATTTTAAAATGCCACAAGAAAATATTTAAATATACTGAATCCCAGACTTTTATAACTAG